TACTGAAAGTGATCTACAGATTCAATACAATCCCCATCAAAATACCAAAAACAATTCTTCACAGAAATAAAAGAAATAACCTTAAAATTTGTATGGAACCACAAAAGACCCCAAACAGCCCAAACAATTCTGAGAAAAAGAACAAAGTTCAAGGCATCACACTTCCTGATTTCAAACTATATGACAAAGCCATAGTAATAAAAACAATACAAGAATAGACGACACCAACCAATGGAACAAAATAGAGAGCCCAGAAGTAAACCCTGGCCTATATAGTCGACTAATATTCAACACGGGCACCAGGAACACTCAATGGGGAAAGGACAATCTCTTCAACAAATGGTGCTGGGAAACTGGAGAAAAACATGCAGAAAAATGAAGTTGGACGACTATCACACGACTCACAAAAATTAACTCAAAATAAATCAGAGACTTAAAGATAAGACCTGATATCATAAAACTCGTAGAAGAAGAGATAGGGAAAAAGCTCATCAATAATGGTCTTGCTAATAATTTTTTTTGACATGACATCAAAAGAACAAACAACAATAACAGAAAATTAACAAATGGGACTATATCAAACTCAAAAGGTTTTGTACAACAAAGGAAACAATTAACAAAATAAAAAGACTACAGAATGGGGAAAAATTTTTGCAAACCATATATTGGATAAAGAGTTAATATCCAAATCTGTAAGGAACTCAGTCAACTCAATAACAACAACAAAAAGCAAATAATATGATTAAAAATGGGCAAAAGAACTAAACAGACATTTCTCCAAAGAGGACATCAATATGGTCAACAGACACATGGAAAGATGCTCAGTATCACTAATCATCAGGAAAGGCAAATCAAAACCATGATGAGATATCACCTCACACCTGTTAGAATGGCTGTCATCAAGAAGTCAAGAGACAACAGATGCTGATGAGGATGTAGTGAAAAGGGAACCCTTATACACAGTTGGAAGAAAGATAAATTGATTCAACCACTATGGAAAACAATATGGAGGTTCCCCCAAAATTAAAATAAGTCTACCATGCGATCCAGCAGTTCCACTTCTGGGTATGTAATCAAAGGAAACGAAAACAAAATTCTGATGAGATATATGTACTCCGACGTTTATTGCAGCACTGTTCACAATAGCAGAGATATGGAAACAGCACAAATGCCTATCAGTTGTGGTGAATTGATGAAATTGATGAAAAGATGTGGTGCATATACACAATGGAATATTACTCAGCCACGAGAAAGGAGAATATCTTCCTATTTGCACCAACATGGATGGACCTTGAGTACATTATGCTAAGCGAGACAAGTCAGACAGAAAAAGACAAGTACTGTATGATATCACGTCTATGTGGAATCTAGAAAAGTTAAACCCGTAGAAAACAGACAGTAAAATGGTGGTTACCAATGGCTGGGGGGTGAGGGATAAGAGTGATGGTGTTTAAGACTGGAAACTTGTAATGAGTAGTAAATAGGTCATAGAGAGCTAATGTGCTATAAATATTATACCGTAATTATGTAATGTGGTGACTATCAGTACATTGGCAATCATATTACAATATAAGAATATACCAAAGTAACATGCTGTATAGCTTATTAAATTTACACAATGTTACACATCAAACTTATTGAATAAGAAAAAAGTAGACTGATTAGTCTGTGGGCTATTAATATTTTTCACTTATGTTTTCATTCAACAGATATTTATTGGGCACTGTGCAGGAGTGATTAAAGTCTGAACAGTGTAGTGTCCCAGAAACACCATCCAATAGGGCAAATGGACACAGAATCTGTTATAATAACACAGTGCGGGGAATGGAACAATAGATATATACACATAATATTATAGGTCCTCGGTGAAAGAGCATCTGTGGCAGTTTCAAGCAGAGGCTTACTGGAGGATATGCTACCTGATTACATTTTAAAATATGCAGGAGTTAATCAAACAAAGGTTAAGAAAGGGAGTTTTCCAGGTAGAAGGGACAGCACAAGTAAAAAAAAAAAAAATCACCTGGCACATGCCAGGATCTGTAACAAGTTCAGTGCCGGAACACAGGTGGTGAGAGATCAAATTGGAGGGAAGGCAGGCACCAGGGACAGGAGGACCTGACTGTGAAGGAGTCTTATGACTTTGGGGAGCCTCCACTACGTTTCAGTCAAAGGAGATATGCTTTCAGACAGATCGCTTTGGTGGTCATGGAAGACATACTTGACAGGGACAAGACTGGAGGCCGAGAAACAAATTTGGAGCTGTTACAGTGGCCCAGTCAGGGATAATGACAGATCGGAAGGATAGAATAAAGGATATATATTCCAAGAATATCTTTGAAGCACATGGTGAAAAGGAGAGCAGGCACAAGAATGATAACCAGGTTTTTGCTTTGGGTGATTAGATGATGAACGTCATACAAAGTAGAGGAGTCTATACAAAGTAGAAGGAAATACCAGATTTGTGAATTTGAGGTTCTTGTAAAGGTCCAGATGGGTAAAGATCTTACAAAGATATCCAGAATGAAGTCTGAAGATGTGAATTTGGAGCTTTTCAGACTCTAGAGGACGGTTGAGATTAAGTACGTAGATGAAGCCACCACGGAGATGGCCTGTGGAGTGAGGAGAACGGGGGATGGTGATGGAATCTTAAGGGAGCATGGACCATACAACAGATAAAGAAACACTGCGAGAGATAAGGGACAGACCATCAAACCACAGGGTTCTAGAAGCCAATGGAATCCATTTTCAAGAAGAAAAGAACCATCAACAGAGCCACATGTGACTTAAACTAACAGTAAAGTAAGAATTGAATGATGTCCATTAGATTTGGCAGTTGGGACATCACTGTAGACTTGGAGATTTGCACAAAAATGGTGGGCTGGAGGCCAGGGGGCAGTAGGCTGAGGAGTGAATGGGGGTGATGAAGTAAAGTCAGAGGTTCTAGATTATACTGTCAAGAAGTTATGTTCAAAAAAGTAGAAACAAACCCATAAAGACAGAGAGCAAACTGATGGGCGCCAGAGGGGAGGGGCAGGAGGATGGGCAAAATGGGTGAAGGGGAGAGGGAGGTACAGGCTTCCAGCTGTGGAATGAGTAAATCACAGGGATTTGGATGAATGGCACAGCACAGAGAATATCCTTGATGATCGAGTGACGGTGTTGTGTGGTGACAGATGGCAGCTGTGTGCTGAGCACAGCGTAACATATAGAGATGTTGAATCACTGTGTTGTAGACCTGAGACTAATGTAACATTGTGTGTCAGCTACACTCAAAGATGAGAGATAGATAGATAGATGATAGATAGATAGATAGATAGATAGATAGATAGATAGATAGATAGTTTAGTTCAAAAGGGAAAAGAGATTGTGCACCAGCCATGGAGCGATGCAGTCAGGGGAGGATTCTCTGAGCGAGATTTACATTTTATTATCAAACTAAGAGGAAGGGAGAGAGGGGGAAGTTGAAACGCTCTTTGGGAAGGAGTGACCAATGAAACACAGTTAGAGGGTCAGGGGAACGGCCCAGGGGGAAGGGTGGTCCAGGTCTAACCCTGAGCTGGTTGCCTTATCCTCTGAGCTAGGGGAAAAGGGAGAAGGATGTGGGAGGCTCTCGAGGGTAGAAAGTTGAGGAAGACCATGACGGAGAAGCTCTATTTTGTGCATGGAGGAAGAAACAAGTTTCTCTGGAGTGAGGTCCAGCTTAGAGTAATTACAGAAAGGTCCCAGAGGAGGAACTGCCCGAGGCAAGGACAGGGGTGGTGGTTGGCGGCGAGGGCCTCAGCTCACAGGGCTGAGCTAACTTTGTTCAGCAGTCCTTGGTTTTGTGGCCATAGAAGTAGACCAAGGGATGTGTGGCTCTGACCCAAGAGCTAGAGAAAGGGGCAGGGCAGGTGTTCTTCAGGTGATCACTGAGGTTGGGCTGGGTCGGAAAGGTGACCCGGAGCTGATGGAGCAGGAGAGTGAGGGGTCATGTGGCTGAGCCCATGTAGGGCAAGAGCACGCTCAGTGGGGATTTCATAGAGTGCAGGACGCTGCAGGACCGCAGGCTGGTCCATATAAAGAGGAGAACTTTGGAGGTGCACTGATTACAAAACCAGCAGGCTAAGGTTTTGAATAAAACTCTGTCAGTCCAAACTGAGTTGGCCTGGAATTAGGGAAAGATTTGAACCAGTGAACAAACAGAAGGTCTACACATGTTGGGGCTGAGGGGAGATAGAGAGATTTGGGGCTTGTCTTTAAGACAGAAATGTTTGTTGTTTTTTTCTTTTTAAATGAGAAATCAGGACAGTTCTGGAAGTGAAATTGTGTGTGTTTTGGGGGGGCTGACCCCACCTCCTAAACCAAGTGGGTAAATTGTGGTAGAAAATAACATGGCAGGACTTTCGGAGAAGCTATGGCCTCAGGAAGAGTCAGGATTTAGTTAAGGCAAAAGGCTACAGATTCAGGGAAGATGCTGAGCCTCCAGGAGACACTGTTGGCCTGGTGGAGAAGTCCAAGGGCCAGAGTAGCTGGGGGCTTGGTCAGGAAAGAGGAAGACAGCCTGGAAATGAGAGTATGAGGAAGTTTGGATAATCAGAGCAGAAGCTCATTTGGGTAGCAGTTTCCAAAGAAGAGGGGTTCTCACAGTCTTTGGGGGGTGATAGGGTGCTCAAGGCTCTGAACAGGAATTCTGTTGGAAAGTTGACTCTCAGTGCACATGTGAGCTGAGGTGGTGTAGGAGCGGTGAGGATAGCAGGTGGTGGAGGTCAATCTGTCCACATCCTCTGAGACCCCAGTGGTAGGAGAATTCTCAGGCAGGGTCAGGACCCAAGAAAGCATCCTCTGTAGGTGCCCAATCCGGGAGATCTGCATGTTTTCAACATATCCTATCAGGTTGTGTCTTTATTACAGAACAAAGTAATGATTGGGTTAATATAAATGTTCTTTGCAATCTAGTAAATTTCTTTCCCCAAACTAACTTATTTTCTTTATTTTTATCCACATGGATATTATTCCTACAGGACTTACTGGCCAGACTTGGATGGGAAAATAAGAGAAGCATTAGTTTTGCGAAGCGTTAAAGTTCGACTCCTTATAAGCTTCTGGAAGGAAACTGACCCCCTTACATTTAACTTTATTTCATCTCTTAAAGCTATTTGCACTGAAATAGCCAACTGCAGTTTGAAAGTTGTAAGTATGATATTGACTTCAGTATTATTAAATAAAAAGGGCTGATTCCCTCCCCACATCTGTGAAAGCTGTAAGCACACGCATTCGTGTAAACTGCCAATTAAGAACCAGGATAACAGTCTCTGATAGTGAGAAAATATTTCAAAAGTAGGATAAGTATTTTTTTCAAGACAAACACACGAGAAAAGGAGCCTGGAACCCACGTTTGCTGGCACCCTCCTGGCCTTGCCCTATTTTCTTCACACACTGCCTATTGGGCCCTCTCTGCTTTGTTTGAACTGCCTCGTTCACCTGCCGTTCCTGTTTCTAAGTCTGTGACCAGCAGTGGCACTGCTCCTCCACAGCCTCCTCCATCCCCCGAGTCCCCCCAGCCTGAGCTCCTGTTCTTGCTCCAGTCCTTGGGGCCACATGCTAATCCACATGCTTTGAGGGAGACAAGATTGGGAATGGGTTTTACTCTCAGTGTGGTAATGCCTTAGCTTATCTTTGACTCTCAGGTCCTCACATGTGATGCCCTCTTCCTCCCCTCTGGGCCTCTGTATAATGCTGTTCCCTCTGCCTACAGCACTCTCCTCCTCTGTGCCTTATCTGACTAATGCCCGCTAGTCCTTTAGGGCTCACTTTTTCCAACCTCCACTGCAGTCATTCAGCAAATGTACCCTGAGACCCTACTCTGTGCTAGGCACCCTTCTGGGGGATGGATCTGTGCTCCATGCAGTATTTAGGGACCAGGATGACAGGGGTGCCACCATCCACTCTGACACATAGCTTCCAAGATAGTCCCAACCCTCAGCAGCCCAGGGCCAATCAGGAGAGAGAGAGAATGGAGGACTGCCCAGGAAGCATTTATGGGGGGGGGGGGGCTGGAGGTGGTGAACATCCCTTTATTTAGCCTTTATTCCGCTGCTCAGAAGTCACTCACCTGGCCACACTGAATGGCAGGGGTGGCATGTTCCCCAAAAGTCAAAGGGACAGGTTGGTGGATCATCAGTCTGCAATTATGGGCACCCATACAAAGAACCCTCATCCCCCACGGGTACTGCACAGTGCAAAGTTCAGGACCTCCCAGAGATGTGCAGTTCTGGACCTCATAGTTCAATAAACAGAAACTAAAAACAAAAGAGCAATTTCCCACGAAACCCAAAACCCAGGTTGAAGTTACCTCCTCCCCATATAACAGGGACAGAAGAAGGCCAGTGAATGTATGTACCAGTAGCCACAGCCAAAGGTTTTGTTGTACATAGTTCCCAAACGTGACCAATATGCTTCCTTGCCCATATACTTCTGCCTCGGCCTCCCTCTCCCTCCCTCCCTCACCCTCTCTCCCTCTTTCCCTCCCTTCCCCTCCCCTTCTCCCTCTCGCTCCTCTTTCTTATTAATGGTGGTTTCATTCAGGTTATCAGACTTGGGTGGGAAGATTATACCAATTATGATTAATCCAGTTATCGGATCTTTGCTGCAGGATTGAGTCTTAACTGGCCTCAGTCACTTAAAGCATTTTTCAAACTAATTTTATACTCCTGGGCTCCTGGCACAATCAGTTTTTCTAACCCTTTGAAATACCAAATTTCTAGTGTATCTGCTCTCTTTCATATCGGCTTGCAAGCCAGCAAATCCGTCTCTGAGCTTATTTGTCTCCTCTGATAACTTCCTAAAAGCACTAATAACAACCAACATATACTACCAACAATTTGTTTTCCCATCCCTTGCCCTGTAGCCATAGTTTTTCTTTTTTTGGGGGGGGGTGGTGCTTGGTCTTCCTTCCAAATTAATGCAAGTTATGGTTTTACCAAGTATTTTGCCACTGCTTGGGTCTCCATTCTTTCCATCCTGCAATACCAATTTCCTTGTTGCCTGCTGCCCATTGGATAAACCATTGCTACATCTTTTATTAAGTTTTATTGTTGCTATTATGGCACCATCTCACTTCACTTTGCCTAGATGTAGTAAGTGCTTAATATTTTTTTTAAAAAAATGAAGGAATTTCTTATATTCATGAGTATAGACAGTTGGACAGGCACTGCGTTAAATACTTTGTATGTACTACTTAATATTCACAACTACACTATGAAGCAGGAACTTTTATATTGTAAAGACATAGAAAATGAAGCCTAAAGGGATTAAATAATTTCTCTCCAGGACACTAGTTAATAGAGGAGAAAGATTCAAATACAAGCCTTTCTTTCTTTCTTTCTTTCTTTCTTTCTTTCTTTTTCTTTCTTTCTTTCTTTCTTTCTTTCTTTTTTTCTTTCTTTCTTTCTTTCTTTCTTTCTTTCTTTCTTTCTTTCTTTCTTTCTTTCTTTTTTTCTTTCTTTTTCTTTCTTTCTCTTTCTTTCTTTCTTTCTTTCTTTTCTTTCTTTCTTTCTCTTTCTTTCTTTCTTTTTCTTTCCTTGTGTGTGTGTAGGAGAACTGAATTGAACAGATTTTATTCAACTTTTTAGGATGAGGAAAGCAAATGATATAAAATAAGTCATAAGAAATGATCTCTTGTACTATCTCAGACTACTTTCAGTGTTTTACAAAATGCTCACACAGCAAATATGAAAAGCTTTAACATAGTCTTACAACTTTAGCTGCAACAAATGCAACATTACCAAACATACAAATGTTTTCTGTGCCAATCTTAAAGGTAGAATTGCTGAATTACTAATTTTTACAATGTTATTCATATTTATTTTTATTCATATGTTTTTAATGAAACCATTGCCAACATACATTATTAATGTAAAAATAAAGTTAAGGAAAATACAAGTCTTTCTAATTCCACAGTCTGAGCTCTTAGACATCATACTGCATGGTCTCTGCATGCAGAACAGATAATTGAAGTTACAAAGTTCTTTTTTTGGTCTTTCCTATCTATATTGAAAAACGTCATATATTACATCTGCTCAGAGACTTAAGAAGCTACACATCTGACTTATATATCTGTGGGATCAACAAAAATATCAGATAAAATGTTTTTTAACTCATTCATACCATTAAATATTTTTTTAAGTTGAAGTTATCAATCATATAAAGACATAAAATTCTAGGGTTTACTGTAGATTTCAAAAAATTATGCTTCTCACATAGATTTCATTTTAATCTCCCCAACATTCTGATAATATTGATGTAAAATAGAAATTTTTATCTCCATTTAACTGGTTTTTATAAACTGAGTAGCCATGCACATGTCTGAGTTCACAAATCAGTATTAGAAATAGAAACAGGTCTGTGAAACCTACAGCTAACATTTTACTCAATGATAAAAAGTTGAAAGCTTTTCCTTTAAGATCAGAAACAAGACAAGGGTTCCATCTCTTACCTTTCCTATCCAACATAGTATTGGAAGTCCTAGCCAGAGCAATCAGGCAAGAAAAAGAAATAAAAAGTATCAGAATTGAAAAGGAAGTGGCAAAATTGTCTCTATTTGCAGGTGACATGATTTTATATATAGAAAATCCTAAAGACTCAACCCCAAAAATGTTGGATTTAATCAATGAATTCAGTAAAGATGCAGGATACAAAATTAAAATACAAAAATCACTGTTCACATTAACAGTGAAATTTCTGAAAAAAAATAAAGAAATGGATCACATTTATACTGGCATCAAAACAATAAAATTCTTAGGAATAAATTTGACTAAGGAGATAAACAGTCTCTATGCTGAAAACTATAAGACATTGATAAAAGAAATCAAAGATGATGCAAAAAAATGGAAAGGTATCCCATATTCATGGATTAGAAAAATTAACATTGTTAAAATATCAATACAACCAAAATCCATCTATAGATTCAATGCAATCCTATCAAGATTCCAATTGCATTTTTATAGAAGCAGAAAAAACACTCATATAATTTATGTGGAACTGCAAAAGACCCTGAATACCTGAAGAAATCTTGAGAAAGAAAAACAAAGAAGGAAGTATCACACTTCCTGATTTCAAGCTATACTATAAAGCTATGGTCATCAAATATGGTACTGGCATAAAAACAGACAAATAGACCAATGGAATAGAACCGAGAGCTCAGAAATAAACCCAAGCATATAAGGCCAACTAATATTTGACAAGGGAGCCAAGAATACTCAGTGGAGAAAAAATAATCTCGTCAATAAATGGTGCTGGGATACCTGGATATTCACATGTAAAAGAATGAAACTGGACCCATATCATACACCACTCACAAAAATTAACACAAAATGGATTAAAGACTTAAAAGTGAGACCTGAAACCATGAAACTCCTAGAAGAAAACACAGGAATGAAGTTTCTTAATGTGGACTGGGGTAATAACTTTTTGGATGTGACACCTAAAATACAAGCAACAAAATCAAAAAGAAACAGTGAAAAGACCACCTATGGAAGGGGGAAAATATTTGCAAAGCATATATCTGATAAGGGCTTAATATCCAAAATACATCAAAAACTCATACAACTGAATAGCAAATAACCCAATTAAAAAGTGGACAAAGGACCTGAATAGACATTTCTCCAAAGAAGATATACAAAAGACGAAGAGGTACATGAAAAGATGCTCAACATTGCTAGTCATTAGGGAAATCAAATCGAAACCACTATGAGATACCATAGCATGCATGTTAGGTCAGCCATCATCAAAAAAACAAAGATAACAAATGCTGGTGAGGATGTGGAGAAAAGGGATCCTGTGTGCACCATTGGTGGGAAAGTAGATTGGTGCAGCCACTATGGAAAATAGTATGGAGAATCCTCAAAAAAATTAAAAATAGAACTACAATATGATTCAGCAATTCTATTTATGGGAATATAACCAAAGGAAACTAAAACACTAACTCAAAAAGGTATCTGCACCTTCATGTTCATAGCAGCAATACTCACAGTAGCCAAGACATAGAAACAACCTAAATGCCCATTAATGGATGAAGGGATAAAGAAGTTGTGGTATATCTATACAATGGAATATTGTTTGGCCATAAAAATGAGATAATACCTTTTTGACAACATGGACGGACCTTTGAAGGCATTATTCTAAGTGAAATAAGTCAGAGAAAGACAAGTACTGTGTGATAGCAGTTGTATGTGGAATATAAAATTTAAAAAAAAATAAAAAGTCATAGAGAAAGAGATCGGACTTGTGGTTACCAGAGGTGGAGGGTAGGGTAGGGGAGATGGGGAATCGGAGGAAGGTGGTCAAAGGGTACAAAATTCCAGTTACAAGATAAGTACTAGGGATTTAACATACACCATGATGAATGCAGCTAACACTGCTACATGGTATATAGGACAGTTGTTAAGAAAATAAATCCTAAGAGTTCTCATCACAAGGATAAATTTTTGTCTTTATTCTTTTCTTCTTTCTTATCTTTTTATTGTATCTATATAAGAAGATAGATGTTAGCTGAATGTATTGTGGTCATGTTGCGATATGTGTAAATCAAACCATGATGCAGTACAACTTAAATTTATACAATGATAGATGTTAATTACTCCTCAATAAAATGGAAAGAAGAAACAGGTCTATGATTACTACTATGGATCTATTTTCCACACCAGACTTACAAGCGAACGTGATAACCAGGAGTTGGATTCGGGCACCAACCTCAGTTTAGAATCAGACATCAGGGGTTAGAGGAAACACTGGTATGGTCCCAGAAAGCCAGGCAGAGACCCAGAAGAATAGAGTCAGTTTGTGTTCAGTACCTTTCCATGGGCAAGAGAATCCTGGGGCTTGTTTTCAGCTCAGGGATGGCATTTTCCAGATAACTGAAGTGGCATATAGGACAGCATGGAAAATCAAGTGAAGCATTGTATTCCCGGTGCCTAGCAGGATGCTGGCACAAAGCATTCAAAACATATGTGTTGAATGGATGGATAGATGGGTGGATGGATGGATAAAAATCAAAAAAAGTTGCTGACGAAGCGTGTTCAGGAAGGATCTGTGAACCAGTGAGTGGAGGGAGCAGGGAGCATGGTAGATATGGAGTCATTTTAGCCATTTTCCCTAAAGAGGGTATGCTGGAGAAGGGTGAAAAATCTGCCAGGTGAGGTCATTCACTCAGAGTTCAGTATGCTTGCAGATAGAGGAGCACCACTGTCAGACCTAGCAAGTTTAGCAGTGTTCTAAAATACAGGTTTGATTATGATTTAGATATGACATAACCAACAGATCAGGAAATGGTGGCCATTGGAAAGGCAAATTTGTTTTATTCACAGATCTCAAGAGAAAGAGCCATGAGGGGATGCCCCAGGGTCATCCAGAGGCAGGAGTGAGGGAAGCATGGACAAGAACTTTTGTTTTGGTTTACAGGGCTGGAGAAGAGACAAGGCAGAGTAAGCCCACTTAGGACTGGCAAGTTTGAATGATTTTGGTGGGCTCTAGTGCCCAGGGGCTGTCCCTAGTTGCCTGGTACCTGGCCCTGGGGTGATTACAGCAAGTGGATAGTGGCCCAGTGTGAGCCCATAAAGGAGATAATTCAGGGTATGGGCCATGGTTGAAGTATGAGAAGTGCACTCACAGGCAAGTTGTTTGCTATCTCCAGAAATTAGCCAGCCCTCAAAAGGGCAGTCCCTCCAGGCTCAGCAGGACTTAGATGTCAAAGTGTCAGAACACAGAAAATAAGAAGACATGACTAATACAAACAGAAGCAGAGGAGAGAATGTCTGGAGCCTACCACACATTGTGCCTTTGCTCCCACCTCTTCTTGAAGGCACTATCAGTTGAAATCTCCATTGTGAAATATTGTGCTCTCATTTAAGACTTGCAAGAAATTATAAGGAAAGTAGAATCCATCCTTTTATTCTCTACTTACTCAGCTCCATCTTTTCCAACACTGATGGTCACATTGTTTGAATAGACCAAACATTAATAGTTCACCGTTGGACATTTCATGAAGTAGAGACTCTGGTCCTCACTGAAGCCAGGCCATGCATTTCTAAGCGTCAACATAAGCCTCAGTGGGAACGCAGCCTGTGGCCCCAACATCTAGTACACAGGTGGGTGAGGAGCTTTTTCAAGGCAGGTGGTCATTGGAACATTCCATGAGGCATCTCTTCTGGAGCCTGGGATCCCTGATAAAGCAGAAGTCCTGGTTGCAAGGCAGGGAATCTCTCTTCAGAGGAGTGGGCACCCACAGCCCTGGCTTGGGGGCAGGGTTTGTGTCCAAGAAGGGACACCTGGGAAAGAGACTGCACTCACAAAGTTGGCCCTGTCAGCTGGGCTTTTATTTTTCAATGAATTCATAAATCCCTTTTGGACAGTCTTTGCTGTCACCTACAGCACATTAGGTGTCTTGTGGTATGTCAGTGAATACAGTGTGATTCCTGCTGCCATTTTCGTCTCCCAGATAAAGCTTTTCCTTCTTGAGGGCCATCTTCAACTTTCTAGAGCAGAAGAGTCTCTGTAGAGTACCAAGCAATAATGCCATCCCCAACATAAATTAGGATGTATATTTTATTCTTTTTCACATCCATCTTGATTCCACAATAATATTTTCCTCAAAAGGAGGAGGTGGAGTGTGTGGACATGTGTTGTAACAGAATGTCCGAGCAGGGTGACTGCTGTTACCAGGTGGCAGGCAGGGTTGGGGAAATACCACAGGACTTCCCACATACATAACTATGACTTAAGAGCATCCACAGGTCATCAAGTCTGTGTGAAGAATCCACAAAATGTGGCCATCTGTGAACCCTCCAAATGACACAGATTTTGCAGGAGACAGGAACTGTGGAGAAGGGGGATCGAGGCAGCATTGCCCAGCATCATGGTAATATAGCCCCGTGTAATACCTTCCTCCGTTATGTGCAATGGACCGTTCTCGGCTGATAAGATTTTGGTGAGCGTGCCATTGATCTCAAGGGGTCTTGCAAAAAATCGGAACAGAATTTTCAGGGCTTTTAGGGACCTTGGTGATCACACTTAGTTTATCACTCCTTTCCTACCCTGGGGTGAAGGGGAAGATGAGCCCTCACTATTTCCCCAAGGCAAACTTGAACAGTTTTAAAACTGTATGACGTCTCCATTTCTAGATAACATCTCATTTTTCTCTCTGCCTCTTCTTCCTTTCAAACGTGCATGATCCCACAGCCCTAAGACATTCATTCCAGAAAGATTCCACGCAGTTCTGGATATGTTCAGCCTTTTCCAGTGTGAAGGAGACTCGAGAGCTCACCTTTCATGCTGTGTCATCCTGTGAGCTCCGTCACAGTTCAGGCCTCATCTGAGCAGTTACGAATTCCAGCAGATTCTGCAAACACCAGCCCACCTACCTCCACTGTCAGCCCCCTCTCTTAGCCCCCCATAGCCCCAGGCCTGAGGTGCTTTGGGGGTCACATTAAAGTTGAAATTCAGGATTCACAGTTTGAAGTGGTGATTTTTTTGACTTCTTATTAAAAGAGCTTGTAGACCTAGGTTTTTCCCCTTGGCAAAATCTCTTTTGACCTTTGCAAATCCCCAGCTGAATCAGCTAGTCATTGACATGGGCCTGCTGCTTTTTATAATGTATGCAACACAGAGGAATATTCATTCAGGTCATTGGCGTGCATGACAGAAAGCACCCTGAGGCAGACCTCAAATGCCAGCGCACCCCGATGAATAAGACAATGAGAATTTAAAAACCTTCTGGCCCTCACCTTGTTGAAAGAATGAATTTTGTGTTCATTTTGCAGCTCAGAGTGTTCATTATAGACCTAGTCGAGCATGCTGATTTTCCCTCTTGTTGCCCATACAAGATTTGAGAACAAAAATACTTCATCTATATGAAGTAACAAGATTGTGGCTTTAATAACCCAATATGAGGCCAACTGTGGATATTTGGATAAGAAACCCTTTTGTGCTCTTGAACAAAACCAAAAACGTTCCTTATACACCTGCTTCCTTAATCTGTTTATTTTTGTGTCTTACAGAAATTTTTCGATCTGGAAAGAGAGAATGTGTGTGCTACAAAAGAACAAAAGGATCACACCTTTCCTAAATTAAATCGCAACAAGTACATGGTGACAGACGGCGCGGCTTATATTGGTAGGTGTCAGGGCTGTCAGGCTCCTTAGGGGATCCTGCAGGTCAATGGCGGTCCCACCATGGTCTTCTGTACCCCCCGGGGCCCTGGAGGAAACAAGAGCGGGAGGGCAAACAGCCCCTTGAACAGAACTTCTCCTCTAGGGCTTGGTTCAAGTATGAGGATGCCATAGAAGATGTTTTTAATAAGTGTTTTCAGAAATTCTTTGGTCCACTTGCCTCCTGTTATGGGTGAGGAGGTGAATGGCTCATGAAAGGCAAGTCCCAGGGGCGTCTGGGTGGCTCAGTCGGTTAAGCGTCTGCCTTCAGCTCAGGTCATGGTCTCAGGGTCCTGGGATCGAGCCCCGCATCGGGCTCGCTGCTCAGCAGGAGTCTGCTTCTCCCTCTGCCCCTTGCTCTGCTCGTGCTCTGTCTCTCAAATAAATAAATAGAATTTAAAAAAAATGAATCCTGAGAATTGAACCCTTCCCACCCACCGTACCCCAGCCAGTCTGTCCTGAGTCACAGGAGGCAGACATGATGACAGCCCAGCACCAAAATGAGTACTGCCTGGACAACGATCCCACCTCTGCCATTTTGAAAATGTCTGCCCTCGGAGAATTTACTCCTGCTCTCTAAACCTCAATATCCCCATCTGTACAATGGGGCTAACAAGTTTCTACTTCGTTGGGGGAAATTTAAGTAATATATGCAGGGCACCTTGTACAATTAAAACCCCTGGCATACAGATAATACCTGATTCATGTTAGCTGTTATTTTTAAGGTAATAATAACTACTGGTGGAATTACTTACTAATGTGTCAGCTCTGTGCGCCTTTCCTACAGTGTGCATGAGTCCAGGGTAATCCTTTAACTGGTACCATCAACAGCAGAGCAGAAATTATTATCCGTAAAAGAAGGGACATAAATCACAGAACAGCAGTCTGTCTATTACATTGTACAGATGACGTAGCAGGCTCAAAGCAGAAAAGAAAAATGTGTGTGTGAAATGAAGGAGTATGGAATATGGGGTTTTCCCCCCCCTAGTTCAGTGAGTGAGTATAGAGTATGCCTTTTTTTCTTTGTAAAGCACTTCATCTCATTTGATTTTCTAAGCAATGTTGCCAATAGGGAGGGTGGCTTTTATCGCCTGCAGTTTAGAAATAAGGAAACACGGACCATAATTGGGGAAATGACTTAAACGTGCAGATGAGAAGAGGAAGAGTGAGCCCTAGAATCCAAGGTACCCAGAACCTCCCCCCTCAACCCTACCACCTGGAACCAGAAGACACTGCCATCAGCCACTCAAGAGTTAGCTACTCTGTCCCAGCTCCGTGGAAAGTTGTTCTTTTTCCATTTTGAGTAGTTATGTGTCACATTAGGAGAATAGTATATTGGAATTTTTTAAAATGTGTATTACTCAAGTTGTTTTAGAATATGAGAATACTATTTTATTCATACTGTACCTCCTGGTGGCTTAGGATGTAAGAATTTGGATGTTCTCATGTTCATTTGCTTACGGAGAATAGAATGAAAGCAGCTTCTCTTTAAGTACGTGTCAAAAACAAACTCAAAATCATTTCATCAAAACTGGGAACTTTGGGCTCAATAATTGGGAAATACAGGGACAGATCAGGTTTCAGGCCCAGTTGGATTTAGGAACTCAGATCTGGATATTTTACCTGTGGTGTTTACTCAAAGCAAAGTGCCATGTGTACATGGAGCAGTTATATGGTGCCTATATCCAAAAGTTCTTTTAACGAATTAAATAAGTGTTTTGGAGTCACAAAAACCTCTGTTGGAATTCAAGCACTGACCCTATAAGCTGGAAGATGATGGAAAGTCATGTGATCTCTCTGAGCCTCTGTGTGCCCCTGTTTTCTTATCTGTAAAATAGGGATAAAAGTATCCACCCTTTGGTGGTGGTAGGAGGATTAAATGAGATAATATAGGAAAAGCTCCAAACATTGGCTCCCATCTGTCTCAATCCTTAGTAAATATGGATTCCTGGCTCTCTCTCCTCTTCTTCCCGTATAATACATTTTAAAAATAGACTTTTTTTTTTTAAAGCAGTTAGGTTCATAGCAAAACTGAAGGGAAAATACAGAATTCTCATATCCCTCTGCCCCCTCACACACGTACACACAACCTGCCCCATTATCAGCCCCCCAAAGTGGTACATTTGCTACAATTCGTGAACCTACGCTGATATTGATATATATTAGGGATTCACTCTTGATGTTACATTCTATGGGTCCTGACAATGTATACACCATTATGGTATCATAGTCATTTCACTGCCCTGCCAATCCTCTGTGCTCCTTCCCTCCCAGCCAACTCCAGGCAACCCACTGATCTTTTTACTGTCTCCATCGTTTGGGCTTTTTCAAGATATCACATAGTTGGAATCATATAGTGTCTATCCTTTTCAGATTGGCTTCTTTCACTTAGCGATATGCATTTAAGCTTCCTCTGTATCTTTGGATGGCTTGATAGCTCATTTCTTTTTAGCACTGAACAATATTCCACAGTCTGGATGGACCATGGTTTGTTCATCCATTCACCTTCAGGACATCTTGGTTGCTTCCAAGTTTTGGCAATTATGAATAAAGCTGCTATAAACATCCACATTCAGGTTTTTGTGTGGACTTATTTTCAACCCCCCTCGGGTAATAGCAAGGAGTGTGTTTGCCCAATCTAATGGTAAGACTATGTTGAGTTTTGTGAGAAACTGCCAAACTGTCTTCCAAAGTAGCTCTATCATTTTGAATTCCCACAGCAGACTGAGAGTTCCTGTTGCTCCACATCATCGCCAGCATGTGGTGTTGTCAGTGTTCCAGATTTTGGCCATTCTTATAAGCGTGTAGTGGTATCGCATCATTGTTTTAATCTGCATTTCCCTGATAATATGATATGGAGCATCTCTTTATATGCTTATTTGCCATCTGAGTGTCTTCTTGGGTGAGGTGTCTTTGGCCCATTTTTTTCATCAGGCTTTTCATTTTCTTATTGTTGAGTTTTAAGAGTTCTTTGTGTATTTTGGATAACAGTCTTTTATCAGATGTGTCTTTTGCAAATATTTTCTCCCAGCCTGTGGCTTATCTCTTCATTCTCTTGACAGTGTCTTTCACAGAGAAAACATTTTAAATTGTAATGAAGTCCAGCCTATCAGTGATTTCTTTCCTGGATCGTACCTTTGGTATTGTGTCTAAAAAGTCATCACCAAACCCAAGTTCATATAGATTTTCTTATTTGTCACTTTCTAGGAGTTTTATAGTTTTGCATTTTACATTTTTCTGTGATCCATCTAGAGTTAATTTTTGTTAAAGGTGTAGGATCTGTGTCTAGATGCTCTTTTCTGCAGGTGGATGTCGTTACTCCAGCACCATTGTTGAGAAGACTAGTTTTGCCCCCTCACATTGCCTTTGCTTCTCTGTAAGGATCAGTTGACTATATTTACAAGGGCCTATTTCTGGCTCTCTGTTACAATGCATTTTTAAATGAGTTCATTTTACACACAGCATTTCTGGCAAAACATTAATTCCCTAGAGCGAGGCATAGTTCTTGTATAAAAATATTTAAAGAGTATCCAGAGGGAAAATTCATTGATAATTTAAATGATTATCAGCATGTTCTGGAAATCTCTTAAGTCATCAGTCAGACACCAGCTGAGAATGCTGAATTAAGAAAAATCCACACTAGACCTTGCATGGAATTATAGCTCATTAAATCTTCACAAGACTTAACAGAAGATTCCCCAAACAGTATCATCTCTCTAATTTTGAATTCTCTGGAGTATATTTGAATCTGGCTTGGCACATTTGTCCAGAAGATGATTCGAATTGTTTGAGGGCTGACAAGGGGGTGGTACGTTAATTGAAGGCACTGAGAAGACTCACTGAGGCACATATACCTTCCCAGTGAGCTTGTCTACACCGTGCCATGGTTCCTGGGGAGGGCCCTGTAGTTCTCCTGCCCACTGGGCCAACACATGCATTTGGGAAGCTGAGATGGCAGTCTCAGCACTGGGTGGAACAGTGTCCTTGTTGAGAAAACACTGAAGCAGGTACATGACTCTGAAGTTGAGCCAAACCTTGAGGAAGTGAAAAGTGGGAAAACATGATCACACTGGTGGAGGATTGCCTCTGTGGGCCTGAGAAAGCTGCCTAGTGTTGGAATTCTGGAGAAGAACCTAATTAAAACTTTGGAGAATCAAAGGTGCAGGATCTTGGCTCCATCCATTGTACTGAAGGGAAAAGCTGAATCTCCCAAAATAAGGCTCCAAAATCTTGTCACTTCTCTCCCCTTATCTTTCCGTCTCCTGATGCTGCCCCCAAAGCATATTTCCATCTCTGTGTCCTTCAGAGAGTGTGGTCCCCAGAGGAGAGTAGTTCAGTGTGGCCCGGTGCTCCAGCCCTGGTGGCTGATGCTGAAGTCTGCAGGGTGGGGAGGAGGGGGAAATGCACAGTGGGTACCATGCAGGCCTTTAGATTGTAGGTGACATGGAACAGAAGTTGAGTGTGGGCTGTGGGGTCAGACCTGGCTTTGAAACTCAGCTCTAATTTTTTTTCACTCCAGTCTTGGACAAATTACCTAACCTTTCTGTGACTTAATTTCCCCATCAGTACAGTGGAGTAAGTATTATCACCTCATAGGATTGCAGTGAATATTGAATGAGATAATGTAATGAGATAATGAATTCACTTCCTGTCACTCAGCTGTGGGGACAAGACTTTAGTGTCTTCTCCACAAGTCCTCGAAAGGCATGCAAGAGCACAAGAGTCTTCTGTTTATGGGATGAATCAAAGATGCTGCCTGCCAGCGGGTTCCAAATAACTCTTAACCTGCAGTTTCTACTGATCCCCAGTTTAAGATGTTCAAGCCTGTATTTACCTGGCGCTGAGCATTGCACAAAGCCACTGCCTCTGAGCATGGCCATGTGTCTGAGAGCACGTGGTCAGAAACACAGCACTGGCAGAGACTCTAACGCAGTATCCTGAACCTTTGGTGGACGGGTCCCTCATTTATAGCGGTAAAATTCATCCAACGTTATGTCTGCCATGAAACCATCAGGGGTTAACAGGGTGATGTTTGGGGAGTGGCGGAAGACAGTAGGAGATAGAGGACAGAGAGAGAGAAGAGTTTGTTCTCTAGTGCTGATAATATTTGATTTAGGGACCCGGTATTAGGCCCTGAGGAATAAACTCAAGGAGTATAATGAGAGACAAGGAAACCACTTCCGCTATTCCAGGAAGTGCCAGATGGAAAGGGGAGTTGATATGTGAGGGGACTCCAGAGTGTGGAAGACGGCCCACAGGAGGAGCGCTATGAAGGAACAGGTATCAGCTCTCTGTAGATATCTATTCCTACACAAATGGCTGCAGGGCCTTGGGCCAAGGAGGCTCAGTGTCGTATTCAGCAAATATTCCTGCAGTGATGGCTGAAGACCCACTGAGGGCCTGGAAATCAAGCTCTATACTTAACACGCCTTCAGTTTTCTTTATGAAACCAGCTCTGTACTAAAGAGGAGCACAAAACTGGGAGCTGAGACCACACCCGGGCTAGTGGTAATTCATGAAATCTTTTTTAGTGAGAACACTGCCTCGCTTATGGTATTATAGATAGTCCATGGAGACCTGGGTCCACCAATGATTAAATCTGTTCACCTCTTTGAGCCTCAGGCTTCTCATCTGTGGAGTGGGTGTAAATCCTACCAACTATGAGAGATAATGACAGATACAAATGCTAAGCCTAGTGCTTTGCTCATAGTAGGCACTTAGTAAAGGACAGTTTCTCTCCCCCCCCCACAAAGACCCTTAAATCCCAACTTCATCCCTAACTCTTCCCCACTCATGCTCCAAGATCCTGATCATATTTTTGTCCACATCCCTCTGCGGGTGTGGCACTCTAACTTCCTAACTGATGTTTCTGTGTATCTCTCATTACTCAACAAAATGCTTTCCTGACTCATGCAGCCAGAGTTGGAAATCTTTTCCCTTGCCCTCATGGCATTGTACACACACATCTCTCTGTGTTATAATCATTGTGTTTCCTTCCTGAATGCCTTGAAGTCAGGAACCGTCATGCTCTGTTTTATATCATGGCCCCAGGCACCCACCTGGTAGACATTAGACACTCAGTAAATGTGCATTAAATGAAGGACAGAAAGATCAAAGAAATGAATGGAGTGGACCCTCTTGAGAAGAAAACTTTGTTCTCCCGCTAGAAACTTCTCCCCGATGGATGCCAAGATAAGAGATTTGTATGGGACTTTGGGGTAGTCTCTCCTTTTATCTTCTCTCAGCTTGAAGATGGACTACGCGTGAGTGACATAGATACTATTGGCCCCTTCTGGGACAGATTCCACCTGCTATGGGCTGAACCGTGTCCCCCAAAATTCATATGTTGGAAGTTCTAACTCCCAGTACCTCAGAACATGACCTAATTTGGAGTCAGGGTCCATAGAGAGGTCATCAAGTTAGAATGAGGTCATCGGGGTGAGCCCTGATCCAATTTGACTGGTGCCCTTACAAACAAGGGAAATTTGGACACAGAGACAGACATGCACAGAGGCAAGAGAATGTGAAGAGACACGGGGAGAAGCTGGGCATCTACAGGCCCACGGGAGCAGCCCGGAACAGATTCTTTGTCCCAACCCTGCCAACAGTTGATTTTGACTTCTAGCCTCCAGAACTGAGACAATAGATTTCTCTTACTTAAGCCACCCAGTCTGTGGGCCTTTGTTACAGCAGCCTTAGCAAACTACTACACTACCCAACACCAAGCTGTGTGCTGGGGAGCCTAGAGCCTACTATCATAGCAACTGCCTTGATTCCTGGACCGACGAGCCAGATCCTGGAACCCGGAAATGATTTACCACCCAAGCAAGGAGAGGTTTATCTATTCAGATGGGAACTGAACCTCCTTCTCTGGCTTCAGCCTTTTCTTTGATGTGCAAGCTTGTAAGCATTGTAATTCGAATCCCTCATTTGTACATATGGATCAGATGTTGTCTCTGTGAGAAGGTAGTAATTGTTCACAGGATTTTTAAGTGTATTCCTATGTATTTTAAATGTTGCTGTATTTAGTGTGTCTTGTGAATGTCAATAAGAAATAACAGTTACCAAAAAAACCCCAGCAGATTCCTTGTTTTGAGTTTCAAGTTGAGCAAAACTGAAGAAAATGCCAAAATAATATGCAAATATTAATATGCCATATGTAAGGCCTCTTGGAAATTTTTTTTTCCTGAGCTGTCAACACAATTCAATCTCCCTGTCATTTTTTTTTTTAATAGAATCTGCTCGGTGTTTCATTAAATGGGGAATTAACGCCCCCCCGTAGATCTTAACTCGGCACCCCATTCTCTGCTTTGTTTGTTTGCAGGCAATTTTGACTGGGTAGGGAATGATTTTACCCAGAATGCTGGCACGGGCCTGGTTATCAACCAAGCAGATGTGAGGAACAACAGGAGCATCATCAAGCAGCTGAAGGATGTGTTTGAGAGGGACTGGTACTCACCCTACGCCAGGACCTTGCAGCCGACCAAACAGCCGAACTGCTCCAACCTGTTCAGACTCAAACCCCCCAGCAACCAAACTGCCACGTCCAGCACCAGCTCGAGGGACCCCGCCAGTGCATAACGTGAAGGAAAGAACTGACAGGACAGCTCATCTTTCCTACTTCTATATAAAGGACTTGAGGAGAGAAAAAAAAATTTAATATGTCTTTTTGTAGGGAAAAAGCACACTTCCACAAAAATATTCTCTGACCGCCATGTAATATCTTATCTAACAATATCTTAGCAGCGCGTACACAAAGTTTAGGACTTTTGTATTTGTTACTCCTGACAGAGAATGTCATTTCAGCTTGGAGGTTAGTTTTTAAGTTTGCATACGGATTTTAAGACTTCCTAGTTTTAGAACTTTTTCTGCCGACCCACCTGGTCGGTTCTTACAAAGCTTAGCATGAGGTAAATGCTTTCACACTCTTCTGGGAGCTGCTTCTTAGAGAGGTGAGTGAGGCTTTCACCGCAGCCAAGGGACTGATCAAGCCAAGTATTGACCCCATAAACTGTCTCCAAGACCCGTGCAGTCATCCAAGCATGAACAGCTGACATCTCATGCCAGCCTCTTGAAAACCACTCTTTCACCTCCTTGTTCATTTTCTTCGAATACCGTACCTTTCACTTGGTACCATTTTTTCCTCTTCTCAGAGAATGTTCTTGTTAGCATCAGCGTCCCCTCTGTTCACCTCCATGCTAGTTCCAAGTATGGCGATGTCTTTTGAAAATGTATGAATTCCCTCAGAATGGATGCCAAATGGGAATAGCAGTCTTTAATTTTCACCTTTCAACTGCCTTTTCCCCTCAAATTAATAATTTAAAACCACAGCCAGCAATATGTATCTTTTCTCTCAAGCTCAGAAAAATTAGGTAGCTACCTGCGAATACCCAGCAAGCAATTAGATCTGCATTATGAGAATAAAGTAGTTTTTCACATTTTTTTTAGCTTAGGGTATTATAAAGGAAAGCTCTCTCTGCATCTGTGGATTTTAATTTCTTTAGAATCATTCATTATGCTGTTAAGAGTATGCCAGCAAACCTTTATAGAGCTATTTAATATACCAAATGCTTTTCAGAGAAATGCAATTTAAATACTGTGCTTCACATATTTTACTAAGAAACAAAAATATTGGATTATTGTTCTATAATATCGTCGTGTGTTGCATTTTATATCTATACAATATATAACCCTATATTAATGGAGACCATTGCCACCCTAGAGACAGGCCTGGCCTCTTTAGAGCCCAGAGCAGGTGGCCACCAGGATGCCAGTCTCAAGGTCACTCCTGACCCCCTCGGGCCTGGAACAGAGTCCTGCACTCCTTGGCCTTGGGTTTCTATTGGTAATGTAGGGACAGTCATACTCACCTACCTCGCGTAGATGTTGTCACGGTAGGAAATATTTATAACTTGATTTGAAATCAAAAGAACCTATATAAATGCTAAGCATTGTGATGTATAATCTTTTTCTCGAACTAATCTTTGTGGTACCCTGAAACAATCAATACCGGGTTCTCGCAGAAAGCCTACAAGGGAAAACAGATCCACAGCCTCCAGCTGTAAATGTGGGTGGACACAGGAACTCAGAAACCATGCTGGAGATTGGGATTGTCATCATTTTGATGGAACATTTCGTTGGGTCACTTTGTCATAAGTAACATCCCTACAAAACGAGATGTGCTAGGGATCGTTCTTGAGGACCAGCACGTGTGTGTGTTTTCAGAGCAAGGAAAAGCAATCTTAATTCTTATCTTTTATATCTAGAGACTTGCTTTCTACTATGCCAGGCAGAGTGACGGAAGAAGATCTGAGTCTCATCCAGTGGGTTCCATTGGTGTAGAAGGGCTGTTGTTGGTCAGCTATTGGTCATGTGACATAGCTTCTTTCTTGTTGCTTCCAAGGTAGGTGTTACTGGATGTATGACCCATCGGTGAAGACAGCTGGGAAAGATGGGGAGATTCTTAATGATATTCTTCACCGCCAGTGGCCAGGCCATAAGACTCTAAATATTTACCATATCCCCAGTCCTTATTTGAGTAGGGGAGCTATCCTGCCAATCATCTCGGTAAAGTAAAGGTGGTTTTGGAAATGATTTTAAAAAAGAAAGAAAACAAAAGAACAAGCAGGGTAGGCATGGAGACAAACAAACATCCCAAGTTCAATCCCAGGCAAAGAAGAGCAACCGGGGCTAGGTTCGAAAGGTTCGAAAGGGGATGTGAAGGGGAAAGACTATTGTCTCCTGAAGTGTGTGTCACAGCCGAGGGACAAGCGTTGGCTTGGCATCACGAGGCCCCTTTCACTGTCCCTCGCTGTCGCATGTGATAGAACTGTGTCCTTTATAAAATGATAGTCTTTGCCATTTTGTGCTGAGCCCATCAGTAAGGTGGCATCAGGAACCGTGTCCCGGGACTTCGTGTCACCAGGAGACCAGCAGCAGCAGGGCCCTCCCTGGCCCAACGGTCACCTCCTCAGACAGGTCACTGACTTCAGGAGGCAACGCTGGCCTCCAGGCAGCCAGGAAAACAGCCCCTGCACAGAGAGGGTCTCAGGTCTCCTAAGAGAGCATTTAATTCGGCAGAACTTCCTTTTGCATTTGGATGCTTTATCTACCCCTCTAGGAGTGGCCTTCCTCTCTTACTGACTCTGTGTCTGTGCTAAATAGACAAACAACTTCCATCAAACACCCTACAAATTATTTCCCAAGAGGGAAAGAAGGCAAAGCAAAAACACTTTAATTCAAGACAATCTGACCATATCCTTGCCAGGAATTAGGAGCAAGAGGCTAACTGCTAATTTCCATTGTTTTTCTCCATAAATATTCCAGGAGTTATTTCCCAAAGGGGAATATGAAAAGGAATGCAAACACAATTCGAGACCATAGTTTAGATTTCTGTGTCACACACAACCTAGTGCCTTATTTATTCTCAAGCATTGATTTTAAATGGTGATTCACTCTAAGAGTATACTTCTGCTTCCCGTGGGGTCCATTTAGGCCTTCTGATGAGCCTTCCAGTCAAAAACGTGTGCGGGTCAACGGCTTTCGTGTAGCCTGCTCTCCTCCTGAGCCACACAGCACTGAGCACCCCCACATCAAGTCATTGACACACACTGTCAAACATCCACACTGTTGGCCTCCTCTGCACTGCCACAGGCCGCCGGCATTCTCTGCTAATTAAATCACAGCTTATCAAACCATCGGAGGGGAAATGCAACGTTATGGATGATATCCATGCTCTGTGAATGCCACACTTTGGGTACCTGAAAATGATAGAAGCGAGGCACGCTGAAAATGTCCCCGCTGTCTTTAAAGGACCTCGTAAAGAGATGTTCATGGACTTCCACAGTCTCGTGGAACATAGCATGAAAACTAGCGTGTAAAAGTCAAAGCAGACCCAGTGAAGGAAACAAAAGAGCTGTGGAAAACGGTACAGGAGTGTAGCTCTGGGCTCTTTTTTCTATCCGGGCTGTCTCTGTGCTGTTTGTCTCACCACTGAACTGGTTCTTCGTGAGACGGGTCTGATCACACTGTTGGTTGATCTTACCCTTTGAAAACTGTGTTTTGTTACCGCAGTTCCTGGTTTGTTCAAAGTGCCTCGCTGAACCTGGGACCGACAGAAGCTCATTTCCCACCAGCCTGCAGCTATTCTCAAGTGACTTTGATTCACTCTGAGTTTTCTGTTTGTTTTTAGAAGTTTTATGGAACTAAATTCCAGGGGAAACACAAAATAAAGAGACTCTCAGAATTTCTTGATAAGATCAGACCCAGAGTCCGTCTGTCTCAGGAATTCTATCCCAGAATCTGCCTTTTTTCATATGTGTAATAACTTGTGTGAGTTTCTCTGTCCAGAATTCATTTCATTATCTTTAACATTTAAGGGATGTGAAGAGCTGCCTTCACTTGCAAATGGACAGTTCTCTTCTGCAATGAGAGAATCTTTGCATTTGGTTATTCAGATGCAGTCCCTAATGAACAGCCCCATGTATTGTGGACAAATGTTCGAATCTTTGGATTTCTGTACTTGATGAACTGGTGCACTTTATTATAAGCCTTTTGAAGGGGAGATTCATATAATGTCCATTTGGCCTAAGGTAGGTTGGATAAATGAATCCATATTCAGCATTTTCCCCTTTGCTGTGATTTAGCTTTTTCTTTTTCTTTTTCTTTTATATGCTGATAACCAAATAGCTGTTCATCATAAGCTGTTACCTTATCGATTTAAATTGCCAGAGGCTTTTTAATAGCCCCAAAGTCAACCCCAGTTCATTGCCTGCCTTTCCCGTTTGAGAGAATTCCCATCCGGTGGCTTAATTACGAAGATAGTGGTTTTTATGGTGACTAGATAGGTATTCTTCAGAAGCTTCTAGAAATAGTAAAAACCGAAATTTCTTATTTTTGACCAGCAGCAATCTTGTACTTACAGAGTTCTAAAAAAGGTCACCATTCACTTCTGCTTCTTTTGGCCATTTGCTAAAAAGAAATGGGAGGTTTAATAGGCTATTCCACATTTTCTTCTGTTATGTTCAACTACTAAACTTCTGATTCTGTTACAAAGGATATCTTGGATTTTTAATGTTTCTTTATGTAAATAGGATAAAGTTGTACCTGGACATATCTATACTATTAACCTTGAGATCCCTAAATAAATCGGTGTGATAAAGGGCTGAATTTGGGGGCATCATTAAAATTCTCAAACCTTTCGTATAACCAAATGCTCAATTTTTTCATAAGTAAATATTATATGTTTTTTTTTTCATTCTGTGAGATGAGGCATTTAGTTTTCTCGTCAGCTTCCAGATTGTACACTCTGGTCCAGTGACAGAAAAGGAATTTATGGATATTGGCTCAGCTGTCTCACACACTTACCCACCACACTATTCTTTCTAGGCTTCAACCCATAATCAAACACACCTGGTGCCTGCTTAACAGGCCCAAATTGAATCTCAGGTCTGGAGAATTCTTTGAAAGTCATCCAAAGCAACTACTCCAAATGCACAAATTCCCTTCCTATTTGGCCACTCAGAAGTTGAGGACCTACTCAAGCCAACACATCAGGAGTGGTTACTACAGTCCCTTTCACA